AACATTGTGACCTGTCACACCTACAGATAGCCGGTCAACATTTGCTTTAGGGTCTGCAGAATTTGTACGATCTATCATCAGTTTGCCATCCCAGTGGACGATTAATGGTGGTTTGTCCAAATCGCAGAATTCAGTTTGAACAGTGGCTTCAATGTTTGATCGATGATAGGTTCGTTTTCTACGGACTGTAGAACGTGACAATGATCCATCATCGAGGTTCTGTCCACCAGCCCTTGCAATTGCTGCTGCTAGTATAGTAAATTTTGTGTCAGATAGATTAATTCTGTCTAATGTTGATGAAACATCAGGCGAGTCAAGAATTGTATCTAAGATACATTGTCGTTTTGGAGTACTTGCTAAACTTGATTCAGCTGACCCTGAAGAACTTGCTTTACTGACTTGTTGTCTGTAATAAACAGGGATTTCTATCTCAAAATCTCTATCAACCATTTTGTCATTATCAACAGCATCGTTATCGTTGTCATCACTATAACTTTCGTCATGTAAAGGTTCAATAACAGGAACTATTGCACTCGCACCAGATTGTCTTTGCTCTTCTTTTAGCTTTCGTTCTCTCTCTGCTTGTTTCCTTGCTTCATTTCTTGCTTCTTATTTTGAAAGTTCTTTGTCCTCTCCAAACATCACCATTTTTCTCTGACATCTTTGATCCAATAAAAATTCTTTATCTTCTTCAATTCTGATTATGGTTTCAGCATCCTTGTGGGCAATGTCAAAAAGTAGGCCAATGGTGTCTGTAAATGATTTCTCTCTTGATTACTGAGAATCTGACAATCTGGATTTTTTTTTTTTATTAATTTAAATTCCTGGACTAAAGTTTTCCACTTTAAGACTACATTCGGATGAAATGCTGTCGGAATACGGGCTTTATTCCAAATAATAATCAGTTCATCAACAGTTGTTTTAAGACTTTCAGGCACTGACTTTTTGGTTGAATTAAGATGATAAAAAAATGTTTTTAAAACATCAGATGTTAAGGGAAGAACTTTATCTGGAAGATTTGGCTCTGGTTGTCCAATTAAAAAGATTTCGGTTTGAAGTCGTGTAGAGATAGCAACACGAGATGATGCTGCCATTTCAATGATAACTGAAAAATTATGAGAAAATCAAAACTCAATACCATATTATACAAACTTATCATTCAGTTGTTGGTTTATGCAGCTGCAGCAATATATAATAATAACTATTACTAAAGAAATTAAATAAATATTTTCAAATTAGAAATTATTATTATCTGCACTTAATAACAAACAATACACTACCAGACTACCATGCTAGTTTTCTGTAATAGGTTACTAAGGTTAGGTACTATCAAAATATTAATACATTTGTTGTCAAACTGAAATTCCAAATAAAAATAATATTTATACTTGTAAACCTTTTTATTCTGTTTGAACAAATTCTAAATTGAGTTAAATAATAGTATTAAAATTATGAATACAAATTTTAACAAAATGATATAAACACAGTTGTTTTAAACACTAGCAGACATTTTTTAGTCTGGTGCCCTGATGACAGTTAATCTGCTGCACTTTAATTAATCTATATAGCACGCAATCAGACAATATTTCAGTGGAAAAAATCTAACTAACCAGGTTCTAGAAATTTTTGGAACTTTGGAACTTTTTCCACGTTTTTGACGTTTTTCGTAAAACTTTATGGTCATTGAGCACCCCCTAAACATTATCTGATTGGAAAGATTTTTTACACAGTCAATTACTATGTCAAATGGCACAAAATAAACAACTATGCATTCAAATCCGAGAAAAATTTTTTTTTCCTGTGTTCACATGAACAGCCCTAATATATATATATATATATATATATATATATATATATATATATATATATATATATATATATATATATATATATATATATATATATATATATATGAATATATATATATATATATATATATATATATATATATATATATATATATATATATATATATATATATATATAGAGAGAGAGAGAGAGAGAGAGAGAGAGAAATCATACTTTTAAATGATTTTTCAATAAGTCAAAGCAAAAAAAAAAAAACTTTTTTTTTTTTTTTTTGCTTTGACTTCCTGAATTTGGTTGCTGAACAGCACACAAATTATTTAAATTATTGTTATTATTAATTTCTATTTAAGTTTATTTTAATTTCCTATTTTGTTATTTTGCTTTTTTTATTTTTAAAAGTTTTTTCAGCAACGCATATAATAAAACTTGCAAACGGCTGTGACCTAGTTGTCTAAATTAAAATACTCATGCGTGAACATACAAGACAAAAAACTGCACATGTTTCCGGGGAAGACTTGAATAATGTTTTTTTTTAAATACAATTGACAGTTGTATATATATAATTTAATTTATAATATATAAATTGTTTAAGTGTGCATTTCTATAATAAAAGTTATTAAAAAAAAAATTGTTTTGTTTTTATAAACAATGACATTCTACGACTACGTAGTCTCTTTAAGGAATTTTAATA